TAAGTTTCTAAGGAAACTGTGGTGCTGCGTCGGTGGGAGAGTATAACAGGGTAACTAAGTATTATCAATTGAGTTGATAGCATAAATTGGCCACCGTAAAGAGTTACAAAACTGACATTTCGAGCGCTAGCCTTTCGTCGGAGCGGATGGAGGAATTGCGGGTTGCGTGTGTTTATATGGAAAAAATGGAGCTACGCTAAAGGTTGAAATATGGTGACAAGCAAACAATAAAAAATTAGTTGATTGAAAAGCGCTCGTTGATACCGTGGAAATTAAGAGTGCCGATTTGAAAAATAAATTATTGTTCTAATGTTTTGCGGCTTTCCGAATTGCCTAGATGTAGGGAGAGGCCGCAAACTACCACATGCTTCGAATGATTAGTGCCTAGCGATTAGATTAGTGCCTGGTTTGAACTGAATGCATCCTTATCAATTCTTTCAGCGTCGCGAAGGTTTGCTTGGAATCGGTCATCTATTCGTCTTCCTGTTTCAGCAATGTTTAACTTTTTCAATAAGTGCAAGTTATGCAATAGATGACATTGGCAGAGGTACACGTGAAGTGACCAGTGAGGGATTTACATAATCACTACTTGGCAGCTGCTGTTTTTGTTGCCCTTTACAAAGATTCTTCCCTCCATCCACCCTCCATATCATACTGTTTGATAACACTTATGGTTTCGGGGTTTTTTGTAATTAGTTTTATTCATTTTATATTTTGGGAATAAAATGTACCTTATGGTTCGCTTACTGTGAAGGAAGAGTTTTTTCATCCAATACTGAAATGATGATAGCAATGGCTACCATTGCCTTTCATACTAATCAAATACCTAAATAAACAAGCAGGCTTAGCAGACACTTTGTTTAATAGGAAAGCCTCCCTTTTTTACACGTTTTAATTTTTTTACACGCTTCATACATCTGTCGATCGCTTTCAGACAATGGTTATGGTTACTTATCAGTCATACTCGTTTGTTTTGGTAAGTAAATACAGCCTCACGTTTTTATAATATTAGATCATCGTTGACATGCTAGAAAGGAAGCAAATTCACGTCAATTTATGAAATAACTGTTTAGGTGAATGTCGCTTGGCCCTTTTTGCAGAACACAGATAACCTGCGAAGAAAGAAAGAAAGAAACATCTGTTTCCTAAGCTGCAGAATTATTTCGAAAAGGGCTTGTTAGTCACAAAATCAAAACATTGTTTTCAATCAATTGCACTTGGCATGTCTGTCTATACATCTCGTCTGTAAAACCTATTTGTTTCTTTTAATTATTTCCACACTGCTGAATGTTTTATTTTAAACACTGTTTTTGAACTTCAGTTGCCCGAAACTAACAATGATTCGGTAAAGATCTCGAGATGACAGAAATAGTTTAAATACTTATCAGTCACTGAGACCTAACGGTGGAGGTTCTACTAAATTTCTGGAACCTTTTTCCATTGTATAGTGAAACAAGGAAAATGTAACACTGACCTTTCTGATGGTGCATAACATTGTTATGTTATAAAACTCGGGCGTTTCTGAATAATCAGAGGAAAAGACAGAATTTCTCCGGGGGGGAAGGAATGTTTCTGTCACTTAAAGTGAATAAGAGGAGACATTTTAAATCCAATCCGGCACCGGTCCTTTTGAGTAAAAAGACGGATGAAATATAAGAGATTACTTTTAAAGAAAAAAAAATGGTTCCCTTGTAGCACGATAACTGATGATAATGACCTTCGCGAATTTCCCTGACGAAATTGACGTGTCATGTGACAGAGCAAGCAGTTTGTGTGTACAATAAAAGAGAGTAAACGTTGCTGATGAATCTTTTAGGTAAATGTTATCAACAAAGCAAAATTAATTAGAACATTCGTGGAGCTAGGCATGTTGTATTGTGACAAAATATTTCTCGCTGCAATTCCTGACAACTTGCGGGGGGAAAAAGCTTATTTATTGATCTGCGAAATGATGGTGGCAACAAATTTGACAGGAAGTGGAACACCGCCGAGAACATTTCAAGAACTGGCATGCTCCTTCTTTTTGTTTGGTGGACTACAACAGCTAACCGTTTCTCTATCAGCAGTCAATATTTTGCTCTCCATCACAGCATTTCTTGGGAGTTTACTCATCCTCGTTGCCCTTCACAAGGATTCTTCCCTTCACCCACCGTCCAAACTCTTGTATCGTTGTCTGGCAACAACTGATCTGTTGGTTGGTCTTATTTGCCAGCCTCTCTATGCTACGTATTGGATGTCCTTGGGTTACGAAAAGAAGAGTCTTTGTCGATACGCAAAGGACGCAGGCTTCATAACAAGCTACGCATTATGTGGAGTGTCTCTACTTACGATGACGGCCATAAGCGTGGATAGACTTCTTGCTCTGTTGTTAAGACTGAGATACACACAAATTGTAACTTTAAAACGCACATACATCATTGTAGCGATGTTTTGGGTTTTGTCTGGTCTTGCAGCTTCATGCTTCCTTTTAGATTACCGTATAACCTTTTTGTACGGCCGTATCGTTATCCCATCTTGTTTGCTTATTTTAATCGTCTCGTACACCAAGATTTTTCGCACTCTCAGTCATCATCAGGCACAAGTACAAGATCATATTCAACAACAGCCGAGCCATTCAAATGCGTTGAATATCGCTCGATACAGAAAGGCAGTAAACGGTGCACTGTGGGTGCAGTTGGCATTAGTTGTTTGTTATGCACCGGAAATTGTAGTGGAAATTGTGATGGCATACAGTGAAATATCTTCATCACATTTAGTCATCAAGGCCATCGCGGTTTTCTTAATTTTCTTCAACTCGACGTTAAATCCTTTTCTTTACTGCTGGAAGATAAAAGAAGTAAGACAAGCAGCTACGCAGACAATCAAGCAAACACTTTGCTGTCCGCGGAGTTAGATCATCCTCGATTTAAAAAGTTAATTGCACGAAGACAACTAAGTGAATTGCAGTTTTGGTCCGAAATCGTACACGTAATTCACAAAAGTGATTTCAGACCAAAACTGCACGAAACTGACGCTTTTTTACATCCATTGTAAAACCGAAAAACTTCCTGGAAATACTAGAAAGGTTTTGAGGACAAGGACTACAAAATTTGGCTCCATCGTCTTTCATTTCCCGAAATTTCCTTTCTCACTTTACACAAGCCTTGAATCTGACTTTTTTTTTTTTAGCGTTTATATCTCACTGGCGGTAAAAGCGATTTAGAGCTAAAAAATGGTGTAATTCGCTAATAAATCACTCTGCTGTTGGCCAATCAGATTGCAAGGATCACCAGTGGTTTCAAAATGGATGTAATGAATAATCAAATATAATATACTCTAAGTCATTCCACTACTACGTCACTTTACTATATTGGGGCGATGGAACGGACAAAAAATGCCACGGTATTACACTGCAGATCAGGGTAAAATATGGACGGAAAACGGAGCTACATAATGGTCTCTCTGAACGATCCAAATTTTGTGTTTTTTCCCTTTCTTCAGGCCTCGTGTTTTTAAAAATGAAGTTTAAGGGTTACAGATTTTTTTGTTGGCCATAATGACGCTTTTAATTGATTAAGGGGGTAAGTTTCTAAAGAAACTGTGGTGCCGCGTCGGTGGGAGAGTATAGCAGGTAATTTAGTGCTAACAACTGAGTTGAAAACGTAAATTAGTCACCGCAAAGAGTGAAAAAGCTGACGTTTCGAGCGTTAGCCCTTCGTCAGAGCGATTGACGGGGGGCTAAAAGCTTTTTTGCTCTTTACGGTGGTCAATTTACGTTTTCAACTCAGTTGTCAATACTAAATTACCTTTTAATCAATGGTTTCTTTGGTGTTGCTTTCGTCTTTTGCTCACGCCTCATGCGATCGATAAGAAGTTCAGATGAGGCCGTATGATGTATTTCGAAACTAGAAGCTAAAATTCTTAAATACCTCGTAACTCGTAACTCGCAAAATATCCCCGCGTGTCAGTACAGTAGGACCTGCGGTGGTA